TCATGTTACGTTCATGTGATAGGAGTGGACAGAAAATTGGTGTAAAAAGCAGCCAAAGTAAAATAAAATAAAAATGTCCCGAAAGTTTGGAACCCTTTTTTCCCCCCTCTTCCCTTTCTTTTTTTTAGAAATCATTTGCTGCATTTTAACTCGGTTTAAAGCGTCTCTGGCGCCCCCTACCGTGCCAACTGACTGAAGTCATGTAAGCGTGATTATTTTCTCTCTGCTCCTAGACGCGTTTAAATATTTCCAACAATCATTCCCATAGACCTGCCTCCACCCTCAGTCCGGCCCGACCCGAGCACGGAACAGCACGGCTCGACTCTCCGCCGACCCCCGGTCCTCCTGTAAGGGCTGCCCGAGCCCCGTGGTTTGATTGGATTAGAGTCGGTTTAGTGTTTGCCCTCTAACCCCCGCTGATGTTGGCTCGCTGCTTCCTGCTCCCCCTCACCGACTGACGAAGGCTGCCGAAGCCGCACGGCGAAGCTCCCCGCACGGACACGGCGGACCGGGACGAGCCGGTGCCTCACCCTGAGGAGAGCCGCGGAACACACGGGGCGAGCGGACTGAAAGATACAAAAACCTTCGCAGACATGCGGAGGAAATCGAGAATTTTGCTGTGTTTCGCGGTGCTGTGGGTCCTGGGAATAGCCTACTACTTCTATTCGGGGACATCGCTGAGTCGAAAGGTAGGATTTCCGTTCTTCGCCTGCTTTTTCTGGGTGCTCGGTCCGCCCCGGCGGGACAAAGCGAAGATGTGATTTCACGCTGTTATGCCTCTTCTCGGCGGCTTTAGGATGCTGTGAGCAGTGTGATAAAAGGCCTGCTAGTATCAGTGGGCAGACATTGATTTGGTGGAGATAATATGGACAGGGGCTCCGGGGTGGCTGCTCTGGCCGGTCGGCGTGCTCAGCTCCCCGGGTGCCGGTGATCGCCTTCCCCCCCGACAGCCGGAGCACGTTCAGACCGGTCAGCCGGGTGAAGGCTGTACGGTGGCCGAGCCGGCTGGTTTCTGATCAGAACACCAACAGAGGCTAAAGCGTGGAGATAAGATCGTTTTAATGTTAAAGTGCCGGCCAGGCTCTCAGGGCCCAGAGAGAGAGAGAGAGCACGTCAGCACAAGCTGCGAAGATCAGGAAGTATTCAGCTTTAAACCTCTCACACTCACTGTCATGTCACAGTGAGTAGTTATTCTCCAAAGGTGGCCTTAGACGTTTCCTTAAACACTCCATCTGTTGTGGTGACAAAAAGGAGTGAGCAACTTCACTGCTCTGCTGATGTGAAAACCATTTATTGTAGTTTTATCCACGAGTTTGTCATTTCTGTGAGCTATAGTCTCTGAGCTCCACCTGGATGACTGGAAGGAAAAACATCATTTGCTTTGGTTTATAGTGCTCCAAAATATCTTATTTGTATAAATCAGGCCTGACTTGATTTCTAAACTCAACGGTTACTGAAATTATAGAAAACTTTTTTTTTCCTTTCAATTAAAGAAACAAAAACCAGTCTGAGCTCTGGTCAAAATACACTTTGAAAACTGATGTTGGCGCGTCTCTCTACTTCCTGACATTTTGTTGATTTAATTGAGCTCTCACCTGGAAGACTAATCAATAATGAAGGTGAATGCCATTTGCAGTCACGTTAGAAACACCCGAGGCGGTACACATTTCCATCACAAACTGCAGCCTATGAAATGACCCCTCCTGACCTCCAGGACTTGCAGCAATGTTGCATTAGATTGGATTAGTTTTTGCCAAGTTTATCCAATAAAAAAGCAGTTTTTCCTCAGAGGGTTTGAACATGCAACTTGTAGATAGATGGCTGTATACTTTATTGTCCCCAAGGGGAAATTTGTCTTGGACATCGTGCGTTAAATACACTACAAACGATAAAGTCATGGGAACACCACATGTGTACACCATTGTGTACAAGTATTTAGTGAACCGTATGCTCCTATGGACTCTGTGTAAATTTCTTTAACCAAAACCCCAGCCCGTATTTGGTTTCATAGACATGCAAGCTCCAGGTGTACAGCAAGACGTGACACCTGTGCACATGTAACTGCATCCTGTTGCGTATAGAGTGCTGATTGTGTGTTGCTGCATGTGAACAGTCCACTGCCTCTGTCACCCCTCTAGACGAGGTTGTGTGTGTGCGTGAATGTCCTGTGTGTATTCTACCTGCCTCCAGTTGTCCTATCTGTCTCTCTGTGTTTGCTTTGCTCCAGTCAACCACGGCAGCCCTTTTACTTTTCCATTAGGCCGATAGCTCTACTTGCTGTGTGTTTATTTATGTGAGGTTTGTAGCAGGGTCAAAGTAACACACGGCGATAAGCAACTTTCTCCGATCGGTGGCAGCATTAATATGGATGATGCGGTGCACCTGGCAGGTGTCTTTACACCGAGGGACAGTTATCTGTTTAAACAGGAGGCTGTTTCTTGTTGCACACTCCCGTTTTCGAGAGGAGAAACGTGGCGTGTCATGAGGCTAGAAAAATCTACAAATAGATTGAATGTTCTGAACGCAGGCCTGGCAGTAAACCTAAACTTTAACGAACTTTATTAGTAGCGTTGATGCAAGGTCACAGCTTGTAATTATTGTTACAATGGTTCTTTATTAGAAGTATTTCATGAAATGGATTTAAATGTTGTATCTGTGATGGATCGGTGCACCGCACGCTGCCTCTGACTGCACTGTTCAGAACATAAATGATTTTAAGATTTAACTTTTGTTGTGAATTTTAAATGTGTTGACTTGTATCGATGACTGGCTGTTTTTGATCAGTGAACAAACTTATTTTATTTTAAGCTTTATGCATAAGCATATGTACATAATATGTTATTTTAAAAATAAACTGTAATTAATAATAATAAAAAAAGCGTAATAAAACAGTTTGTTTGCTAAAAACTGAACTACAATCACCCAACTCAATAGAAACATCATTAGACATAAAATTTATAAATTTGCATTCTTGTGCAAACGTTTCACCACGCCCTGGATTTTTATACGTCTAAGAAGTCAGACATTTAAAAACTTTTTTAAAAGTGGTTTTGTTCTACAGTTTTCCAGGTTTTCTGAGCGTCGGTCAGTTTTTTGTCTTCACTGCTTTCCCCACTCGTTTTCCAGCCAGTCGTTGTACCTGACCATATCAACGTACTTTGCAGTGCATTAAAAATAGGAAACTGGACAAGTGGAGGACAAAGAAATCAGTGTCAGACCTAAAACAAGATTATCTACAGCAGATGGTCTGGACCTGAAAGTTGTATTTTGTGAAGTAGGACTAATGCGGCAAAGACCTGAAACAAGCGCTGGGAAATGAATGTATCGTTAATATTTTGACAGCATGCCAAGTGTTCAGCAAAAAGCCATTTGAAAATCACCTTGTTCTTGTTGCTACAAAGAAATATACTAAGAAATGAGAGCAAATTTACAGCACAACCATGTCTGGCTCATTGAAGTAAAACGTGATGAAATCAGGGATAATTTAAAGCTTTTGCACCAAACTGCAGTAAATATGGAGTACTCCATACTGCATTGCAAAGTTAGTTCTAGCCCAGTCGTTGGCCTCCAGATGTCGATGATACGAGGCGACAGCAGGGTCCCGCTCTTGCTGCTGGTTCTAGTTTGATGTATAAGAGTCCCAGGCTCGGACTCATTTAATATTTATATGTATGCCAGCCTAAAGCCAGGACTCCAGTCACCCCTCTCACTGGTCACACACAGCGACTGCATCCATTCCACCTGACAAAGATGAACGCTCTGGTGTCACCGCTGATCCCGATCTCTGCGAGGTGCGTTCAGGATTCACTTGGTTACAGCGGATAAATCAAATGGCCACTTCTGAGGCAGTATATGTGTGAGAGGAATTAGTTCAGCTGGCTTCTTCCTCTGCTCGGTCACACTCCGGCTCCTCCGATCAAAGCATAAAACTCAAAGATCAAAAAGTTCCCTATTCAAGAGATTTTGTCCTTTTTTTGAAACGTGAATGCCAATTTAAAGACATTTTTGACGAAAATACAAGCCAATCTTTCTGGTACATTACAATGTTTATTTTTGTTTGTTTTTTTTCCCCCCAGAGATCAAGAGCTAACTTAATCAAACACATGATTTTAGTTTATGATCAGACTTGTGGCAGCATGGATGGAAAAATGTTGTTGTGAAAAATCATCTTTGGTACCACTTTACAATAAGGCTCCCCTTATAGATGCTAATAAATAGTTTATAGATACATTATTAATTCCTCTATAAACACTTTATAAATCATTAATAACTGCTTATTATGCATTAATTAAGGGTGACAGAGACAAAACTGACCAGTTTCTTGCTAAATAGTGATCCAAATCTGTTCACCTATATATTTCATCTAGAGTTATTATATTAAACATTTCAGACTAAGTGGTACTAAGTACCTAGGTGTGAATGAGAAAGTGAATGGTTGTTTGTCTCGTTTGTCTCTATGTGTCCCTGTGATGGACTTGCGACCCATCCAGGGTGTACCCCGCCCCTCGCACAGTGATTGCTGGACATGGGCACCGGCGACCCCCGTGACCCAAAATGGAATAAGCGGGTAAAGATAATGGATGGATGGATTTCAGACTAAGTTACTACCTTGTAAGCACAATAAACATTTGTAAACCCATTTCTTTAGCATAATATATTGTATTTTGTCACTGCATTATAAGTATCTACAACTAATATTATATCCTAAAAAAAAGAGGTTTAAAAATGCTTATTGTGCTTAACAAGGTAGTAACTTAGTCTGAAATGTTTATTATAACAACTCTAGATGAAATATATTGGTGAACAGATTTGGCTCAGTATTTGGCAACAAACTGGTCAGTTTTGTCTCTGTCACCCTTAATTAATGCATAATTAGGCCTGTCACGATAAACAATAAATAAATTAATCACATGATGAATGAAAATTATCTACCTCATTTTCATTTATCAGCTTTATTGTTTCTTCATGTCTCTCTCTTTCTACTGAAGACACTGGATGACAAAAGGCTCAACTCCGGTGCTCTTCACTGACTCCTCCCTTTCTCTTTAAAATCTGTTTTAATTGTCCAAAATTGCATTTTTGGATCGTTAAAAGCAGTTAAGCTGAGAAGCTAATCTACGAGCTAAGCTAACAGGCCGATCTCAGGAAAAAACCTTTGTCTTGGCAAAGCTCCAAAATTCACGGTTGAAACCCGTGCCTTCGTCTAAAACGTTTCCTCTGCAAAAAAAAAAAGCTGAGAACTTGTTTACTGATTATTTTTAAGTTAAAAGCTTTGTGTGAAAAATGCTATGCTAAAGAGCTCAAACCACACAGAGCATCCGCCATTTTGAGAACCAAAGAGCGACAGCCTATGTCACGTCAAGGGGCCTCCCTCCCATTTTTCTTAAAGAGACACGCTGCTCGCTCCCTCACTATCCATCCTTCGGTTCAGTCTTTTAACTGCCATCCGGTGGTCAAAAAACGTACTACACTCAAAACCAATTAACCATCATTTCTTCTTAAATTTGACAATAATTACTAAGTATTGTCAAATTTCAAACAATATTATCGTTTATCGCAATAATTTCTGAGACTATTAATCGCTCAGCAAAATTTGTTATCGTGACAGGCCTATGCATAACAATTATTAATGATTTATAAAGTGTTTTATAGAGGAATTGATAACGTATCTATAATCTATAAGGGGAGC